TTAGGAAGGGTGAGCAAAACTCTCAGACAACACTTTGAAAGGGATCAAAGAAACAGAGTAGCTTCCTTTCAGAGAAAGCAGCCCATTTCTTAGGATCCAGCTGAGTCTACTGGTAACCAAGAGCCTGGCTTATCCATATAAGTTATCTGATAGAACCACAAGCTTGTATTTATATCTACACTGAAGGACACCTGCCAGACTGTCTTTGTCATCACTGGTACACTTGAGAAGGAATACCTCCTGCTCTTTCCCTCTGCAGTGAGCTGAGCAATGATACTGCTAAAACAGGTGCCAAAGTCCTGTGTCCTTTCTTCTCTTTCTACCTCCACCTCCACCAATAAGAATGAAGACCAAGAGTCTGGATGGGGGACTTGAGGAGGAGGAGAGAAGTAATGTGGGTCCAGGTTTTCTCTGCAGTTGGAAATATAATTAGACAAACCCTGAAAATCAGAGACGGAGTTGGAGACTGGGGGTCATTCAGATAGGTACTTGAATCCATGAGAGTAGAAAAACCCACCAAGAGAAAATATGTAGAAAAAGAAGAGCTATGGGCAGAGCCTTGAGGATACATTCACTTCAAGTTTGAAGGCCAAAAGAAAAAGAGAAACCAGCCAAAGAAACAACAAAGGTGGAGTCAGAGAGGCTAGAGACAGATAAAGGAGCCAACCAAGAGATAGTACTCTATTGCATTTGGAAAATAAACCTTTTGCATATAAGTGTGAATGGTTTTTTTCTTAGAATGTAACTTATCTCTGAGGATGAGAACCTGTTGGTTACATTCTAAGGACCATCAATTTGGTTTTCTGCCCAAGGTATTTCTACATATAAATAATATTGATGTTATTATTATTATTTTAAGATTTTATTATTTGAGAGAGAGCACACACAGAGGGAGAGGGAGAAGCAGGCTCCTGCCCCAGCAAGGAGCCCGATGCAGGGTTCCATCCCAGGACCGGGGGATCATGGCCTGAGCCGAAGGCAGAAGCTTAACCGACAGCCACCAGGTGCCCTGATGTTATTATTATTAAAGTGACTTTTTGGGGGGCACCTGGGTGGCTCAGTCGGTTAAGTGTCTGCCTTTGGTCAGGTCATGATCCTAGAGTCCCAGGATCGAGCCCAGCATCAGGCTCCCCACTCAGTGGGGAGTCTGCTTCTTGACACTCTCCTCTCATTCTCTCTCTCTCTAATAAATAAATAAAATCTTAAAAACAATATATTATTGGGGCGTCTGGGCGGCTCAGTCAAACATCTGACTTCAGCTCAGGTCATAATCCCAGGGTCCTAGGATTGAGCCCCACATCAGGCTCTCTGCTCAGTGAGGAGCCTGCTCCTCCCTCTCCCACTCCCACTCCCCCAGCTTGTGCTCACTGTCTCTCTTAAATAAATAAAATCTTAAAAAAAAAAAACAATATGTTGTTAAAAAAATAAAATAAAGTGACTTTTTTCTATACTGACATACTTCTACAAAACTCCTTTTTTCAACCAAGTCTCTAAATACTATCTTATGTGTGTCAGTCCCTACCTCAGATAGTATAATAGGGACAAGGGAATGTTAAATGTTTCAAAGAAATAGGAGCTTGGAAATTGTGTTAAATATGAGCCTGGGTCAGGATTAAAATTAGAAGTAGGTAATAAAATCCCAACCGTACCTATTGGGATCTGGCAGTGTTGGTGAAAGCACGCATTAGTGGACATTTCACCATTCCTTTATGCCTCAAGTTATTTAGCCACCACAGAACAATTGGCTGCGTGGCCTCTTCTCCCCCAGCCTGACCTTTCCTAGATCATTTCTACTCTCTTTAGTAGAAGGCACCCAGCTGATACCCTATGACCCAGCAATTGCACTACTGGGTATTTACCCCAAAGATACAAAAGTAGGGATCCGAAGGGGTACGGACACCCCGATGTTTATAACAGCAATGTCCACAACAGCCAAACTATGGAAAGAGTCAAGATGTCCATGGACAGATGAATGGATAAAGAAGGTGTGGTGTACACACACACACACACACACACACACAGGAATATTATCAGCCATCAAAAAAATGAAATCTTGCCATTTGCAACGACGTGGATGGAACTAGAGGGTATTATGCTAAGCAAAATAAGTCAATCAGAGAAAGACAAGTATCATATGATCTCACTGATATGTAGAATTTGAGAAATAAGACAGAGGATCATAGGGGAAGGGAGGAAAAAATGAAACAAGATGAAACCAGAGAGGGACACAAACCATAAGAGACTTTTTTTTTAAAGATTTTATTTATTTATTTGACAGAGAGAGATAGCGAGAGCAGGAACACAAGCAGGGGGAGTGGGAGAGGGAGAAGCAGGCTTCCTGCCGAGCAGGGAGCCGGATGTGGGACTCGATCCCAGGACCCCGGGACCATGACCTGAGCCGAAGGCAGATGCTCAACAACTGAGCCACCCAGGCGCCCCAACCATAAGAGACTCTTAATCTCAGGAAACAAACTGAGGGTTGCTGGAGTGGTGGGGGATGGGAGGGATGGGGTGGCTGGGTGATGGACACTGGGGAGGGTATGTGCTATGGTGAGCACTGTGAATTGTGTAAGACTGTTGAATCAGAGACCTGTACCTCTGAAACAAATAATACATTATATGTTTAAAAAAAAAAGAAGGTAGTAGGAAGGGAAAAATGAAGGGGGAGAAATCGGAGGGGGAGATGATCCATGAGAGACTATGGACTCTGAGAAACAAACTGAGGGTTTTAGAGGGGAGGGTGGGGGGGGATGGGTTAGCCTGGTGATGGGTATTAAGGAGGGCACGTACTGAATGGAGCACTGGGTGTTATACGCAAACAATGAATCATGGAACACTACATCAAAAACTAATGATGAAATGTATGGTGACTAACATAATAAAATAAAATTAAAAAAAAAAAAGAAGAAGGAACCCAGCTGAGCCAGTTAGTCCCACTCATGCACAAACCATTCTGTCTGGAAATTTCCATTTTTTCACAGCTTTTCAAGCACCTGGGCTACCAAGAGGGTTAGATGCTTAAAAAAACTGAGGGCGCCTGGGTGGCTCAGTCGGTTAAGCGTCTGCCTTCGGCTCAAGTCATGATCCCGGGGTCCTGGGATTGAGCCCTACATCCAGCTCCTGGGTCAGCGGGGAGCCTGCTTCTCCCTCTGCCTGCTCCCCCTTCTTGTGCTTGCTCTCTCTCTGACAAATAAATAAAATCTTAAAAAAAAAAACAACAAAGAAAATCAATATTAACAGTGGTTATCTCTGAGTAGTGGGGTCATGAATCCCATATTTGCTTCTATGCAATTATTAAAATTTTCCAAAATATATATGCATTGCTTTAACACAAGAACAATATAGTCATTGTTTTATCAGGAGGCCTGGAGGCCTAGAGGCCAGCAAACAATATCTGGATCCCTAAGTTACTATTGAAGGAATGGCACAGAGAGGGATTTCATAGGCTGCTGACAGCACTGTGCACACTGCCTTTAACTTCACTTCTTACCAGTCCATAAAACTAAGGTTTCCAGAGGGAGGGAAGCAAAAGGGCCCTACTTTCTTCTAGTAAACACTTCATGTATTAAATTCCAAAGGGGTGCTATGGCAGGGAGCTTGCCTAAGCCGGAGAGTAAAATTAGCAGAATTAAAACAGGCCTCACCTGTGCATGCCAGAGGTCGAATTCCAGTGGCCCTGGGACTCCTCCACGCCAGAAGGGAAAGAGGGCAAGGTAATGAGTAGGTGTCTATTTGCAACTCATGTCAGGCCTTTCTCTTTCTGCCATTTCCTCTGGCTCTTTCCAGCAGGTGGCAGAAGATGCTTGAGTGCCAGTCCAGATTCAGAAAAATTGAATGTCCAGGGTGAGCAAGGGCCTGCTCTTATCTGCCCACTGTGGCTGTGGTAGTTACCAGACAGGCTGAGCAGACTGCTCCATGTTTGCAAGGAAGTGACAGTAAAGAAGCAGGACCAGTACCTGTTAATCTCAAACTCAGAGTTGCTGTGTTTCTAGGCTTAGGAGAGGGTTGAGAGGTTTCAATATATTAAAAAGGGAAAGCGTGGAGGTTTTCTACACTGTGATCCTATCACACAATGGAATACTGAATAGCTAGTAAGAATGAGCTGATGAGGAACAATCATCCAAGATTAATTAATTAACGGTGGTGGCCTCTGGGCAGGAAACTGGGGGTGCAAAAAAAGGATATTCTTTTCTATGAATATCCTTTTGTAACATTTGAATTCTGTACCATATATATAAAACTTCAGTATCATTTTTAAATGGTCTACATGCACACATGGTACAAACACATACATGCAAAAGAGTGCAGATCACCTGCAAAAAGCTATGACATACTTCCTCAGTCCCTTAAAGCTGCTTTCTAGAAGTAGAACAACTATGTCCTTCGCTGGCCCATCCACCTCCACCCCTGTGATTGCCCACAGTAGCTTAATTCCATCTCTCCACCTCACCCCAACCTCCCCAGCCTCCTCTCTGACCACAGAATAGCATTATCCATTGCTGCTCTCCTCAGCATCCCTATATTTTAAAATATGTTCTATGTTGTATTCTCTCAAAACCCTGTAAAACTAATCAACTAACTCCAGCTAAAGTTACCCCTCCCAGGATATGTTTGCATATTAACAGTGAATTTCAGCCAGAGAGTGACTGATTTTAGGGCAAGTGAGACAGAATCATAGTGCCAGTGAAAGGAATACCGGAGTTGAGATCAGGAGACCTTGATCTTATTCAGGCTATTCTACTCAGGGCAAATCACTTCACCTCTCTGGGTCTCAATTTCCTTAACTTAAAAAAAGCGGGGGGGCGGGCTATAAGAGATGATCTTCCCAGATCTAACACTCTACAAAATCCCATCATACAATGCTGATTGCCATCCCCTCTGAACTTGATGGGTACTGTGTGTGTTCAACAGCACTGCCCGAAAGAAATATAGTGTGAGTCATATATGTCATTTTAAACATTCTAGTAACCTCACAAAAAAGTAAAAAGAAACAGCTGAAATTAATTTTAATAGATTTTATTTAACCCAATATACCCAAAATATTATCATTTCAACATGCAATCAATATAAAAATTATTGAATTTTCATTTTTTTAGTACTAAATCTTCAAAATCCAGTGAGTATTTTACATTTACAGAACATCTCGATTTGGACCAGCCACATTTCAAGTGCTCAAAAGCCACCTGTGGCTAATGGCTACCATATTGGACAGCACAGCTCTAAGTCTAACAAGGAAGCCTTCCCTTCATTTCCGACCTCCTTAAGCCCAGACTTGAAGACTGGTATGAATACCTGCCTCCATTCTTAGAAAAGGTCAAAGTCATCAGAGCAGTTTTGGTTCTGAGTTCCTTGACTCACTAGGAAGGTAGCTGGGGCTGGTGACCAGAGAGCACTGCAGAGTTCAAGACAAACATCAAACAGAGAACCAAGAGACCTACAAGCTGAATAATATGGAAGAACTTCAAGGGACAGACAGACTTCTTTTTACTCAGACTTTTCACAATACAAAATACACCAAAAGCACACGGATCTTTTGTCATGGCAGCTGTATCAGTTCATTCATTTAAACACCTCTGATACCTTCATATGTCCTCGGCTAGGCCTAAAAGTCCCTACAAGATAATAACTCACTAACAGATGAGGACATTGAGGTTGAGAAAGGATAGGTCACTTTCCAACAGACACATGCCTCATGAGTGGTAGAGCAGGGATCCAAACCTGATTCTTTTTTTTTTTTTTTAAAGATTTTACTTATTTATTTGACAGAGAGAGACAGCGAGAGAGAGAGCACAAGCAGGGGGAGAGGGAGAAGCAGGCCTCCTGCAGAGCAGGGAGCCCAATGCGGGGCTCGATCCCAGGACCCTGGGATCATGACCTGAGCTGAAAGCAGACGCTTAATGACTGAGCCACACAGGTGCCCCCCAAACCTGATTCTTAAACACTGCAATGAGCCACATTCCCCAGCTTCAAAGAGCTCACAGTTACTGGAGGTAACAAAGGACTTCACAATTATAAGGCCATGGGGTCACTACCACAAAAAGGTGGAAGCAGAGGACGTCAGGACAGGATTCCCAAAGGTAACCCTTGAGTAAGTCTGGAAATTCGAGGAGCTAACCAGGCAAAAAGTGGAAGCTGGGCCTTCCAGAGGGAACAGCAGGTGCTAAAGTTACAGTGGTGTGAAGGAGCATGAAACGTTCAGAAAACTGACTGGCTGGGCAGCTGGAGGGCAGCGTGCATGAGGAACAGAGTCCCCGTATCAAAGTGGAGGTGTTAGCCAAGACCAGTGCATAAGGGGCCTTAAATTCCATGACAGGGCACCTGGGTGGCTCCGTTGGTTAAGCGACTGCCTTCGGCTCAGGTCATGATCCTGGAGTCCCGGATCGAGTCCGCATCGGGCTCCCTGCTCAGCGGGGAGTCTGCTTCTCCCTCTGACCCTCCCCCCTCTCATGCTCTCTCTCTCAGTCTCTCTCTCAAATAAATAAATAAAATCTTAAAAAAAAAAATTCCATGACAAATTTAAGAAGAAATGCCATGCGAGGCATGGGAAGACATTAAAGAGTTTTATCTAGGGTAGCGAAGGACCGGATTTTCATTTTGAGAAATCATTCTAACAGATCTCAAAGCTTATCTGTCTCCTCTCCTCTCCCCAGGGTTCTTAACTCTATTTAAAAGCCCATATGTAAAAGCACAGATTTGTTTCCTACAGAGGTGGACCACACCCTAGGGACTTACCTCCCAAGGGCCTGTGAGGTTTACTCCTTCTACCCACTTTACTAAAGAGAATTGTTCACTTGGAACTCCTGAAAACCAACCTCTGGGAAACTACTAAGCACCTCCTCTATTCCTGGCATCAACACTGCCTGAAACCCCAGCTGGGGGCAGTTTGCTTGGCCTTCAGCCTCAAAAAGGCTAGCCCCTGCGGGAAGCCTTTTACAACTCCGAAAGCATAGTAGTGTTTTACGTTTACTTGCACAGTAACATGTAAGATTCTTGTGGCTAGTGACAGAAAACACTGAAACATTTCAAATACCCAAATGCTATGGTCCCAGTGCCTCCTCCCCCTAACAATGAATTGTTTATTGCCTTCAAAACCCATATCTCCCCTCTGCCCAACTCCCTCTACACATCCCTTCCAGCTCACCTGATTACCCAGTTCCATTTTCAGCTCATCAGCCTCTGAGCCTGGCCTACTTTTCAAGGCCACACGAGCGGAAAAACCTGTACATTATACAAACAATAGACTATAGCTAGAACAACAGGACATAGAAGGCGGAGGGGGACCAGCAACGGTGTATACCAAGGAGGCAAGGATGGAGGGCAGAACCTGGTGAAACAGCCATTGGACAAAGTACAAAAGTACTATTGCAGGGCAGTGAGAAGGAACTGACAGGAAGAAAGAGAACACAGGAATACTGAGTGTGTAATAGAGCAGGACTTGGCCACTGACAACCTGGAAAATTGAGCTGAAGCCCAAGAGGCACCAAACAAGATCACTTTACCCAGTGAGAAGAGCAGAGCCGCCTTATTTTGCTTTCAACAGTTACCTGGGTGGTTTGAAAGCCACGTCCTGATCTGAAAAGAGAGGGCCCAAGCAGTTTCAAGCCCATTGCAAAACCACAGGAATGGTGTATTGATAAATAACTTCTCTATGCACAGATTTGGTGGAAAGGAAAATAAAGAGGAGAATTAAAAGGCCCTCTCAGATCCTCACTTTGCCTAATTAAGGGCCTACCCTGTGAGGCAATTTTCAGAGGTAAGTTTTCCACAGAAGTGAAAGGCCAATGGTCATTCTATCAGAGTTTTCTGAACTTCCAGCTTCATTAACACCCTGACCTGAAAAATCAATCCCTTGCCTTTGCCAAGAAGAAGGAGTATTTCATGGACACACTCTCCTTTCCCAAACCCCTCCTTTAGAAGGGGCCTCTGGGTATAAGGGAGTATTATTCTGGAGGACTTGTGCTCTCTGGCCCCACTTTGTTCCCACATTACCTACCAATACCAGCCAAAGTGGGGTGCAAGGGGGATAACATTCAGGTGGCAAAACACAGTTCACCAGACTGGATCAGGTCTTTCTAGAATTGGGGCTGGCCCCACTCCTGAGGGGGCCCAGCCAGCAACAGGTGGGCTGCCATGGATGAGTTACTCTGCTTCTGTCACAGCCAACCTGGGGAGTGAGAGGTTGAGTGGAATGGGAAAGACCACTCAGTCGTGGATAGGAAGCCGGTAGAGCGAAAACATGGCCTCCTGGATCCGATGGAAGAGCTGAGCCAGCTTGTAGAGGAAGGGCAAGGAAGAAGGAGAAGCTGCAGGAAAAAGGAAGATTGTTGTCAGTGTGCCTGCCTTTACTCCCCTCCTCTTCCCCTCAGCCTTAAGTCCCTTCCCTTGGAAACCCTACCACTTTGGGAGTATGCGTGATCTTTGTAAAGCATATGTTGATGCTTAATGTTATTTGCTCTTCCTCCCCTTCTCAACAATAAAGAAAACTTTCATTTTCTCTAGGATATATTCTCTGGGATATATTTTCTTCACTTGGATTACAGTGACCTTAAGTTTGCTGAGAAAAAGATCCAAACTTATTATGTTTTAGCCTAGCTTTATGATACACACACAAAAAACTGGTAATGGTGGCTGTCTCTGGGAAGATAAATTTGAGAAGAGACTTCACTACATTTCTTTTCATACCTTCTCAACCTGGAGCCAAGTGACAGTATTACCTATTTTTATCCTAAGTTAATCATACTGAAAATAAAGTACAATCTACCTCTTGGGAATTAGGGCTGAGTTGATTGGTTGGTTTTTCCTTATTTGATTACTGGTTTTTTTTAACTGATTTTTTTTTCTTTCTTAAAAAGAAAACTGTTATTTATTTATTTATTTTTATTTGTGAGAGAGAGAATGAGAGACAGAGAGCATGAGAGGGAGGAGGGTCAGAGGGAGAAGCAGACTCCCTGCCGAGCAGAGAGCCCAACGCGGGACTCGATCCCGGGACTCCAGGATCATGACCTGAGCCGAAGGCAGTCGCTTAACCAACTGAGCCACCCAGGCGCCCAGAAAACTGTTATTTTTAAAGAAAGCTACTGACAATCTGCTCTTTTTATATCCTTCCTAGATAGTTCTAGCTGCTGCCTGGTCATGGGCTCTCCTCTCCCACCGCACCACCACTGCAATGAGTCAAGTCCGCCACTAGGGGTGAGCAGTGCCAGGCCAGGACACCGGGAAGAAGCTCTGCGCAGTCTTGGAGGCAGAAAGCTCAAACTGCCTATTGCTGTCCCCACTCAGAAGAGCAGGACTTACAAGCACCATAAAAAAAAAAAAAAAAAAATTCTAAATTTTTATCAAGTCTCTGGAACAAAGTAGAAGTCAGAGAGTGGGGGCGCCTGGGTGGCTCAGTCGTTAAGCGTCTGCCTTCCGCTCAGGTCATGATCCCAGGGTCCTGGGATGGAGCCCCGCATCGGGCTCCCTGCTCGGCGGGAAGCCTGCTTCTCCCTCTCCCACTCCCCCACTTGTGTTCCTGCTCTCACTAACTCTCTCTCTTTGTCAAATAAATAAATAAAATCTTTAAAAAAAAAAAAGTCAGAGAGTGGACTGGAATGAACACAAACTATCCTCAGCTTTCCTGAGAACGAACCCAGGACTCTTTCCTTAAGCAAACAAAGCTATTCAGAGGGAATTCCTGCTCAGTGTTCAGCAAAGTGAAAAGGACAACTTTGAGCTGTGCAAAAAAAGCTCACTGAATAAGAGAAAGGGGAATGGGGAAAATGGGAAAGACCTAAAGATTAAGACAAGAACTGGCAGTTTTCGTTTTCATTTTGTTTTAAAGATTTATTTATTTCTTTGAGAGAGGGAGAGCACACATGCACAAGAGCATGCATATATGTTCACAAGTGGGAGAAGGGTCAGAGAGAGAGAATCTCAAGCAGACTCCCCCGCTGAGCTCAGAGCCCACATGAGCTCCATGTGGGGCTGGATCTCACAACCCTGAGATCATGACCTGAGCTGAAACCAAGAATCTGACACTTAACCAACTGAGCCACCTAAGTGTTCCAAGAACTGGCAGTTTTTAAAATAGACAAATTATTTGTGTGACCCTAGGCTAGTTACTTTTTTTTGTAGTTCTTAGGTTTCTTGATCAAAAAAGAAAGAAAAAGAATATGAAGGGACTGGAATAAGGGTTTCCAGTTTTCCCTGCAGTTTTGAAAGTTATATAATTCTATTCTAAGTCTAAATTCATGAGAAGAGTAGTGATTAGATCATAACTCACATAGAGTAACACACGAACATAAAATTCTAAAAGAATGTGCTCCTAATCTTTGGTCCAGCACTTAGTTTTGAGGAGTTAATCCTCAGGAAATAACCAGGGTTGTTCCCAAATAGCACTCAGGGAGCTCATGTCTGCTTCATAGCACTGTAGAAAACAGAGTAAGAAATAATCAAAATGTGGAGCACCTGGGTGGCTCAGTCATTAAGCATCTGCCTTCGGCTCAGTTCATGATCTCAGGGTCCTGGGATCAAGCCCCGCATCCGGCTCCCTGCTCAGCGGGAAGCCTGCTTCTCCCTCTCCCACTCCCCCTGTTTGTGCTCCCTCTCTCTGTGTCTCTCTCTGTCAAATAAATAAAAAAATCTTAAAAAAAAAGAATCAAAATGTTCAACAATGGGGGTTATTAATCAATCATGGAAGTTTCTATAAACTGGAATATTATTTAGCCATCTAAAGCCATGTTTTTAAAAGATATTTATAATATGCAAAATTGTATCTGTATCCATATAGAAAAAGACTACAGTACAACCATTACAATAACAAACTTATAGGTGATTTCTGTTTTCTTCTTTATACTTTTCTCTATTTTCCACATTTTCTAAAATATACATGTATTTCATTTACAATTTAGCACAATTTTTTAGGTATTACGACGAGGAAAATTTTTTTTTTAATTCTCACATTCTGGTCAGAGTTCACCCTTGGATAAAGTAGATGATAATGACTCAAAATCAGTGTTCAAGGGTCAACAGAGTAGAGTGAATTTCCTCCAGACTGCTCTCATGGACTCCAGGGCTATTCTCTCCTAGGTGGGCTGAGCTGGCTCTCACTGAGGTCTAACAGTCCCTCCTTATAGAAGAGACTCAGGGAGAAATGGCACCAGAGATGCCTCCATGGAAGGGCAGGAGAGAAGACAGGCTTCATTACTCACCTGGATCAAACCTTACCACCAAGAGGCAGAGGATCAAGGCGGCCAGGAGGCTCTTTCTGAAGGGCATGGAAAAGAAGTGGCTCACTGTAGAATCCCAAAGCCGGCGAAGCAACACCATTAGTGACAGGAACTTGTGGGAGGAGGAGCCTGGTCAGGGAGACAGAGCATAACTGCAGGGTAACTCCACGAGAACCAGCTTCCCTGACTCTGAGCTTTGAGCTGGATTATGAGAGTTGAGCAAAAGGTAACAAGACTAGTTCACTCCTGTAGTTCATAAAGTGATTCTAAAAGAGATTCCAAAAGCTCCAAAAATGTTTTAAGGAAAGACTACATCGCTAGAATGTCATCTCCTTAGGAGAGACTTTTAAAAGACAATATCTACTCAGCTGGGTAAACCTGGCATATTTAGTGTACTTTTTAAATATTATTTTATAGCATTCTTTATATTTTGGCCTAAGATATGTACAGAGAGTTACACAGAGCAAAAGTTCTTGATTATCACATTAATGCAGGAAAATGAAAGGCACTTAATATATATAGTGAAGAATTCAAAAGTCTTAGATTTTAAATATGAACACCATCAACTCAAGAACAAGTGGTGCCAAGTCCTGATAGAACACTCTGAACTTACCATCAAACCCCTTCCCCATCCTTTCTTCCCTAGGAGATGGAGGGGCAGAGGGCTTGGTTAGCCACAGGCAATTCCTAAAGCCAACAACCTGTCTGCAAAGAAGTGATTCTACCTCAGGAGGTTCATCCTCTTTAGTGCACAAAGAAAAAAACACTTTGGAGAAAAGGATTATAGTTGGTTAAAGAACTCCATATAAAAAAGAAGGATCAGGCCTATTCTGTATGTACCAAGAGAAAAATCAAAGAACAGTGGCTAAAAACTACCAAGAAAAAACTTAAATTCAGCATCAGGAAGAACTTCCCTACAGAACTATCCATAGATGGAATGAGCTGCTTCTGGAGACAGTGAATTTCCTATCCTTGCATAGACTAGATGATTACTCGAGGAAAAGAGGATGAAAAGGATTCAAAGACCAGGGAAGGGTCTGGAGTAGAGGACCTTTAAATTCCCTTATAACGAAATAACCCCTACACCTACACCCACCCCTATGTAGGCATCCCTTGTAGGATAATAGGTGTACGATGTTGGGTCTTAAAATGGTTTCCCTAAAAAGCCATTGTGTGAAACTGCACTCCAATGGGCAGAGGTGGGCTGCCCCTTAAAGGGGGACATCAAACACTGAAGAACATACCCAGGAGATCTAGTAAGTAAAGGCAGACAGGAGGCTGGGCAGTGGGGCCCAAGCTGAAGATAAGTAATTTTTATCTAAGTCAAGTTACCAAGTTATTGTGTCAGCTTATTTTCCTTTGGCTATCCCACAGCATACCTCAGCTGTGTCTGTATTGGGGCCAGCCTTTAAAGGAGGAATAACATCCCACTCAGGCCAGCATGATAGAGACAAGAGATCTAGTGAGAGGACCCTAAGAAGAAGGTGGCTTTCAGAGATAAGAGTTAAGGTTCTGAGATTCAGTGACACTTCCCAGAGATTCTCCTTCCACTGCCAACTACAAAGGGTCAGGGCTTGGCTTTTTAATCAATTAACAGGTTTCCTATTCTGCGATTTGGGAGTTGCTCATACAAATAATTGCTCCCAAGCTCCCAGGAATGTCATGATAAACCCCAAGGTATAAGGGAAAGCCCACAACTCCACTTTATAGAGGGATAGAAGGATAATGTCCTACCTTCCTGGTTTAGCTTCTGGGCCTCCTCAGAGCCTGAGTGTTGGTGTTTCTGCTGTTGCCTTGCCTTATTCATGGTTTGGAGTACGTCCAGCTGCTCTTCCTCACTGAAGGCTGCAGAGCCCACCACGAGCTCCTCAGCCTCTGACAAGCAGCCCAGAGGCAGCAGCACCCGCTGCAGGTGAAGTTCTGCCAAGGCTCTGTATTCTGGAAGGCCCTGATTGTCGGGGTCTTGTAGCCAAGCACTGACCACTTCCAGCACAGCTCCAGGCTCTTGCATTTTGCTGTATAAAAGAACACTGCAGCCCCAAATAACCCAATTTCAAAAAAAGACAGTCAGTGCTCCATGGTTGGTTCCCCTCTCATAACTACCACCCTCTCCCACCCAATCCCTCCCCTGTGTCCTCCAGGCCTTCCCTATAGGATGATGATATTGATAAGAATTAGGAATTCCTAGAAAGTAGCAAGAAGCTCTCTCAGCTAGGACATACTCCACTTCTGTCATCCCACTTCACATCTCCTATTCCCACTGTGCCCTCTCCTCCTCTTTCCCTCTACCCCACTCCTAAATTCCCCCTTTCTCATCTTTTATAGCTAGGTTTTGAGGTCAAAAACAAAACAAACAGGGAAAGAATTAGATATAGAGGGAAATGGTAGGGAAGAGAGAAAGAGAAGATATTAGGCACTGATTCAAAAAAGGACATGAAAATCCTCTTGTTCCTGAACTGATCCAATGAGCCAGAACAAGGACCTACCATAGTTCCAGGACTTTGGGAGGTAGCTTTTCAGGGACCTGGTAATACTGAAGAACCCAGGACAGGACTTCCTGCCACCGATTCATTTCTGCCAGGGCCTGGATCCCCACAACACACAGGGAGCATTTCACCTCCAAGGAGCTGCCAGCAGAAAAACCAATTCAGGTTTAGAAGTGGTTCCCCTCCAGGGGCACCTGTTAATAGGTGACTCTTGGTTTCTGCTCAGGTCATGATCTCGGGGTTGTGGGATCAAGCCCTGCATCTGGCTCTGCGCTCCAGCTCAGTGCAGAGTCTGCTGGAGATTCTTACCCTCTCCCTCTGTCCCTACCCCCGTTCTTACAAGCTCTCTAAATAAATAAATAAAAATCTTAAAAAGAAAGAAAGAAAGAAAGAAAGAAAGAAAGAAAGAAAGAAAGAAAGAAAGAAAGAAAGAAAGAAAGAAAGAAAGAAAGAAAGAAAGAAAAGAAAAGAAGAGAAATGGTTCCCCTGTTTCCATTCCCACCTCCACCCTGGGACTGTTCCTCCCCAGTTCCCAACTCAGCAGCCATCACCTCTATCCTCCCCATTAGTATTTAAGTGGAGCTCAAATTACAACTGGTCTCACTAGCCCCAACACAGAGAAAACTGCCCTTTGCCCCAGGAGTTCAAAGTTCCTGTAAATCTGGAGGCAACTCAACTGTTGCCTGGATACACATCTTTGAACCCAGGTGACATCAGGAGAGGGGAAAGGGATAACAGGTGTGTGGGTGGAAAGAGAGCTGGAGCTAAGAGTTTGTTTTAGTGAAGAAGTGGGGATGGAGCAAGGTTTCTGCCTAGGTATAGGAACTTCACAACTGGCCTGTTAGCACCACCAACTGAAGTACCTCCAGGCACCCCAAATACAGCCTCCAGCATTTACTGCAACAAGCCCCTACCCAACCCCCTAAAAACACAGCCAGCGCTCCCCAGTTCATCCTTCTCTGGGGTCAGCTTTGACTATTCTACCCACCACCTCCCTAGTGTAGCCAAAATCAACATTACAATCCACAGAGAAATGATGCCCTCAACTTCCCAAGAGGCAAACAGCTTTAGAAAGAGCAATGTCTCAGAAAACAAACAGGGTTGCTGGAGCGGTGGGGGGTGGGAGGGATGGGGTGGCTGGGTGATAGACATTGAGGAGGGTATGTGCTATGGTGAGCGCTGTGAATTGTGTTAAGACTGATGAATCACAGACCCGTACCTCTGAAACAAATAGTACATTATATGTTAAAAAAAAGAAGAAGAAGATACTAGGAAGAGAAAAATGAAGGGGGGGAATCGGAGGGGGAGACAAACCATGAGAGACTATGGACTCTGAGAAACAAACTGAGGGTTTTAGAGGAGAGGGGTGGGGGGATGGGTTAGCCTGGTGATGGGTATTAAAGAGGGCATGTACTGCATGGAGCACTTTGTGTTATACGCAAATAATGAATCATGGAACACTACATCAAAAACTAATGATGTAATGTCTGGTGATTAACATAACATAAAAGAAAGAAAGAAAGAGCAATGCAGGACCAAGATTTTCTCCAGATTGATTCTGTAATCCAATCCTTCAACAGGACCAGAACACTACTCCTGCTCTGAACTCCATTTCCATTCATCAACCAAAGTCCAAAGTGAAGAACTTGGGGGAGAGGAGTGTAGCTAGGAGAGGACTTCCACCACCTGCTTACTGAACCTGCTTACCGAAATAATTTAACACTTAATACATATCTTATCTTCTCACCATGCCATTCTACACTGGAATAGGGAGAAAGGAATTGGCTGTGGATTCTCACTAAGCTCTGTTACCCGACTTGACCACTTCTTCCTCATTGTGCAGTGCCTCAGTTTCCGCCTCTGTAGAATGGGCACGCTAGCCTCTCAGAGAGAAACCACTAATGAAAGCAAGGTGTAAGGCTCCTTGTGAGCAATCTGGGAATGACAGAATTCCCAAAATCTTGAGTCCTCCCCAAGATCACCCGGAAATGAACGGAGCCCAGCACGTACGTGCCCGCATCATCGTTGGCTAAGCTCCGCCAGGCGCGTTCACAGGTCTGCAGCGCTCCCCGGAAGTCCAGGTGCACCACCAAGAGGTCTGCAGCCTCCTCCAGCAGAACCACGGCTGCTGATGGAGGTGGGGCGGCGCACACAGGCTCGCTGCTCCTCAGGGGCGCCCCGAGCCCCCTAAGGGGGGCTGCAGGGGTCGAGGAGTCACTCTTCATAGCCAGCCTGGGCCGAGGGCCTGTCTCTTCAGACATCAGAGTGGCAGCCTCTCCGGGGGATCCGGGATATCCCGCGTCGGCCTGGGAGAAGAGGGACAGTCCTCATACGCTTACCCACAACCCTTCCCGAGGCCGAGTCCTGGAAGAGGAAAAGTTAGTGGCCATGTCTAAGTTAAAGGCTGGGTTAGCCGGGCAGCTGCTCCAGCTCAAGACAGCCTGAAACACGGGGAACCAGTTTACACCTCACATTTGCAGAACAGCTACATTCCTGGAATACCTGCCTCTAGCTTCTCTGGCCCCACGACATGTACTGATACCACCTTAGCCCCGGGGAGTGCCGTTCCAGGTTCCTTTTTATGAATATAGCCGCTTACTGCAGGCGCGGAACAAGGGAACCGACATCTTTCCGGCTCTCGCAGATCCCTGCAGACTCATGGCTTCCCGGCGGCGCGGAGGACTCTGGGAGTTGTAGTTCCCTGGCTCCCGGCTCAGTCGCCCTCTTGATGTAGATGGGGGAATTTCGGACTACAACTCCCAGCATACCACGCAACAGAAACTGTCACTGTCCCCGGAGAAAAACTGGCGCTTTGCAAAGCTTTGGGAAATAACAAAGTGAAGGCTGTGTTGTGAGATGGGGGAGGTCCCTTCACGAACCAGTTCCAGCAGAGGCCGGACGGAGGAAATTCCAGTAACAGAGGTGGAGTTATGAGCAGGCTTCTAATTCTGAGCTTCTGCAGGAATAGCGATTAGAACGGAAGGAGGACAGAGCAGGAAAAGCACTGAAAGGAAACAGAGCTGGACACTTTTCCTTATATGTTCCGCCTTCCCAGGCACAGTCACATTTATCCAGTGCGTACAGGGCCTAGCACTATGCTAAGAGCTTTTTGTGCAATCTCATTTAATCCTTCCCTCAACCCTGGGAGTTAAGGACAACTGTTATCCCCATTTAACAGGTGAGGACATTGGAGCTTATTTAAACACTTTGCTGAAGGTCACACAACAAGGAGCTGGCAAAAACTAAGTCAACAAAGCTATTTTTGCTCAAAGCCATGTATTTAGCCACTATTCTGTTCTGCAGGACAGAGTCTAGAGTCTATGCTCTCTATTCAGAAAATTTACAAATCATTCCCCAAGCAAGTTACATAAGCTCATTGAGCCTTGTTGCTTCATATAGAGATATTGTGAAAACAAAGCCACATGGTGTGTAATGCAATTCATAATAAAGTACTAGAATAGAGCAAGTATTCAATAAATTATAGCTATAATAATTATTAGATAAATTTACACAGATACATAAATTACATTTATTATTGTATTATGTGCTTCACCCAGACTCTGCTGAATTTATACTACGTTGTCTCAGCTTTAGTTTCTCCTCAGTTCCCTACCTTTTGAACTCTTTGCAAAGCTTCTCTAGAATTGTTTACTCCCCTGGTGATTAGATTAGAACGGCCAGGCACAGGATAAGTGCCCATTTATGCCATACATTCCCTTCCCTTGTCACTAGATATAGACACACCCATTTGCTGGGCTTTCAGCTCTCTGCAGAAAGTCCTCATGGAAAGCTGAGGCGGAAGCATGAAATCCATCAAACTCTGAGGAAAGAGAAGTATGGACCCTGTAACCATATAAGGTGATGAAGTCAAGACTTCACTTATTCCGTAAATACTTTTTGAACACCTACTAGGTGCTAGGCCCTGTTCTAAGTACTGAAGATCGCACAGTGAACAAAAGAGACAAAAATATCCGCTTTTGTGGAGTTTATGTCATAGTGAAAGAAAACAAATTTTTTAAAAAAGCAAGTGAAGTACAAACAGTAGTATGTCAGATGATAATAAATGCTGAGGAGAAATAAGAGAGATTGGGAGTGACAGCAGTAGAGAGGTAGAGTTGGTATCTACATTTAACTTTGTTTTCTAACAGGAAATCCAGGGTTGGGGGCACAGCAAAGAGAAAAGTGGACCTCCTGCTCAGGACTAGGCTCTGTCAGCAGGATCACTATTCATTTTGGAGCACTGCCCTTGGGACCAACATATTTTCAGTGTTGCTTGTGAGAAGCTCCACCCTAAGTCTCTCTTCCCCACCAGCCAGTATTCATTCCCACACAGAAAACTCCAGAGGCAAACAGAGATCCCTGGAAAGTGTGGATCAGTCTCAGAATGAAGTTACCAAAGTGTTTTATCAGCTCTGCCTCAGATTTTATTATCATTGCACTGCAAATAAAAACCCTGTTCTCAGAATTAAGTGTAGAGGTCTTTTCCTGAAAAATCAGGAAAGCAGTAGGTGAGTCAGAAAAACAGACCGGTGCAGACCTAGGCAGGTTGAGACTGGCACAACCACTTCACGTCACTTCCGGAAGCACCACCTTAGATTGCAGCCTTGAAAGGGCCCCTTCCTTAAATCGTAACAAGAAGTTTCTTGCTATTTCCAAATGCTTCCAGGAGATGGCAGCACAGCCTTAAAAGAAGCAGACCTGCCAGAAACACATTTGCCTATTTCGTGGTATGGCTGCCATAATGAGGTCAAGATTGGGGGGGGGGGGGGGTTGCTAAAAATCACATAAAAATATGATTGTGTTCTATTTCTGTGTTTCACCCAATTTTTGACTATACAGGACTTCATTGGTCTGTATGTCACCACTTAACCTTTAGCATTGTTAAGCCCACAAATTGACTCTTTAACCACTGTAACATTCCATTGTCTCCCCTGTCTGAATGTACCCAGAATTTCTCAGGCTCACAGCAATCCTAAACATAAGCAAGTTCATTCCACCCGAGGGAGAGTGAACAGATATTATATATACCGAGCCAGTCTTTCTGACTCAGGGCTCACGACACAATCTTTTAAAGCCCCTATCCTCCCCTTGGGATAAAACAAGAAGTAGAAATAAGGCCTGAGCTATAAGACCAGATCTAAGGTTTGGTCCGTGCTAATATTTGTATTATCGAATCTTTTCTTTTTGGGAAAATAGAGTAAATGAGATGAAAAATCCACTTTGGGAGCTATCCTCTAACCCCAACCCAAACTCTGGGACTTCTGCTCAGGAGGGTGCTCATTCTATCAATGTATTGCCTTAAGCTTAGAATGAGGATTTGCTCTGCCTGCTCTGAGCAGATGACGAGTAGGTATTTTTGTAGCAGAAAGAACTACAGAACACTCATGAAAGAAAGAAGACACAAAAAGATGGAAAAACATTCCATGCTCATGGATCAGAAGAATAAACATTGTTAAGATGTCTATGCTGCCCAAAGCAATCTATACCCTCAACACCATCCTGATCAAAATACAAATGACATTTTTCAAAGTGTTGGAACAAACAATCCTAAAATTTGTATGGAATCAGAAAAGACCCCGAATCACCAAGGAAATGTTGGGGGAAAAAACAAAGCTGGGGCATCATGTTGCCTGATTTCAAGTTATATTACAAAGCTGTGATCACCAAGACAGCATGGTACTGACACAAAAACAGACATATAGACCAATGGAACAGAATAGAGAGCCCAGAAATGGACCCTCAACTCTATGGTCAAATAATCTTTGACAAAGCAGGAAAAAATATGCAATGGAAAAAAGACAGTCTCTTCAATAAATGGTGCTGGGAAAATTGGACAGCCACATGCAGAAGAATGAAACTGGACCATTATCTTACACCATACACAAAGATAAACTCAAAATGGATGAAAGACCTAATGTGAAACAGGAATCCATCAAAATCCTAGAGGAGAACATAGGCAATAACCTCTTCAACATCAGCCACAGCAACTTCTTTCAAGACACATCTCCAAAGGCAAGGGAAACAAAAGCAAAAATGAACTTTTGGGACTTCATCAAGATAAAAGCTTCTGCACAGCAAAGGAAACAGTCAACAAAACAAAGAGGCAACCCACGGAATGGGAGAAGATTTTTGCAAATGACTCTACAGATAAAGGGCTGATATCCAAGATCTATAAAGAACTTCTCAAACTCAACACCCAAAAAACAATCAAGTCAAAAAATGGGCAGAGGACATGAACAGACACTTCTCTGAAGAAGACATACAAATGGCTAACAGACACATGAAAAAATGTTCATCATCATTAGCCATCAGGGAAATTCAAATCAAAACCACATTGAGATACCATCTTATACCAGTTAGAATGGCAAAATTAACAAGGCAAGAAACAAATGTTGGAGAGGTTGTGGAGAAAGGGGAACCCTCTTACACTGTTGGTGGGAATGCAAGTTGGTACAGCCACTTTGGAAAACAGTGTGGAGGTGCCTCAAAAAATTAAAAATAGAGCTGTTCTATCACCCAGCAATTGCACTCCTGGGTATTTACTGCAAAGACACAGATGTAGTGAAAAGAAGGGCCATATGCACCCCAATGTTCATAGCAGCAATATCCACAATAGCCAAACTGTAGAAGGAGCCAAGATGCCCTTCAAGAGACGAATGGATAGGGGTGCCTGGGTGGCTCCTTCGGCTCAGGTCGTGGTCCCAGGGTCCTGGCATCGAGCCCCGAATCGGGCTCCCTGCTCCTCAGGAAGCCTTCTTCTCCCTCTCCCACTCCCCCTGCTTGTATTCCCTCTCTCGCTGTGTCTCTTTCTGTCAAATATATAAATAAATGAAATCTTGAAAAAAAAAGAGAGAGACGAATGGATAAAGAAGATGTGGTCCATATATACAATGGAATATTAGCCACCAGAAAGGATGAATACTCAGCTTTTACATCAACATGGATGGGACTGGAGGAGATGATGCTGAGTGAAATAAGCCAAGCAGAGAAAGTCAATTATCATATGTTTCACTTATTTGTGGAACATAAGAAACAGCATGGAGGACATTAGGAGAAGGAAGGGAAAAATGAAGGGGGAGAATCGGAGGGGGAGACGAACCATGAGACACTATGGACTCTGAGAAACAAACTGAGGGTTCTAGAGGGGAAGGGGGTGGGGGGATGGGTTAGCCCGGTGATGGGTTAAGGAGGGTATGTATTGAATGGAGCACTGGGTGTTATACGTAAACAATGAATCATGGAACACTACATCAGAAACTAATGATGTACTGTATGGTGACTAACATAACATAATAAAAATAATAATTATAAAAAAAGAACTCTAGACTGGGAGATGAACTATCCCAGTTAGAATATTGGTTCCTTTGGTGACCAAACCAGTCACCAGACCTCTAGAAATTCACTGAAACCCTCTGGGCCTGTTTTCTCATCTGAGGACATGGATAACAACACCTGCCACATAGGGTGTTTTTGAGTGTCAGAAGAGACCATGTGACAATGGCCTATTGAACTCTCTAAATCTCTGGAATAGTTCAGGCTGATATAAGGCCAGTTAGTATAATATATTGGAGAATGAGTAAAGAGAAAAAGAATCTCATTCCATCTCAAAGTTCTGTAATCTTACTTTCTGATCTAGAATTTGACTTCACTCTTTCTTACAAAGGTCAGTAATGTTCA